CCTCGTCTTCGGCGGCCAACTCCTCAGAAAATCCTTCTCCGCTCCATTGTTGAAATGCGTGGGTCCAACGGATGCCGACTATATTCTCCGAGAGATTCACCTCGGCATCTGCGGAAACCACATAGGAGGGAGAACCTTAGCCCACAAAGCTCTCAGGGCAGGGTATTTTTGGCCTACAATGATCTCGGATGCAAAGAACATGGTCAGAAAATGCGAGAAATGCCAAAAATTTGCACCGGTAATCCATCGGCCATGCCTAGATCTCCAGCCAATTCTTAATCCTCTTCCATTTGCACAATGGGGGTTGGATATTCTGGGACCCTTTCCCGAGGCCCCATACAAAAGAAAGTGGCTGATAGTCGGAATCGACTATTTCAGCAAATGGATCGAAGCGGAAGCTGCTTCAAGCATATCTGAGCAAACTGTCAGACAGTTCATCTGGCAGAACATAATAACTCGGTTCGGCATCCCAAAAGTTTTTGTGTTCGACCACGGCAGACAGTTTGACAACCTGCCCTTGCGCCGATACACTGATCAATTCGGGATAAAATTGGCTTACTCCGCGGTTTGCCACCCTCAGAGTAATGGCCAAGCCGAAGCCGCAAATAAACAGATCCTTAACGCTCTCAGAAAAAGAGTAGAGGATCAAAAGTCCAAGTGGGTAGAGGAACTTCCGGGAACCCTCTGGTCACTCCGGACAACCGAGAAGGAGGCAACGGGGCATTCACCTTTTCAGCTGGTGTATGGATCCGAAGCAGTGCTTCCAGTGGAAGTGGGCTCAGAAAGCCTACGAGTGAATCTCTTCTCAGCCGAGGAAAATGAGCAGCTCATGAAAGAGTCCCTCGACTTCCTTGACGAGATTAGAGATCTAGCCCGAGAAAGGATGGCTGCACACAAGCTCAGAATGAGCAAGTCCTACAACCGAAGAGTCTATCAACGACCTCTCAGAGTTGGGGATTTAGTTTTGAGGAATGCTGCAGCTGTTCAAAAAAGTCGCATTCATGGCAAACTCTCAGCATCTTGGGAGGGACCTTATGAAATTTATCAAGAGCTTCAGCCCGGTACCTTCAGACTCAAACAAATGGATGGCACCGAGCTGAAAAACCATTGGAATGCCGATGTGCTCAAAAAATACTATGTGTAAATCCTTCGGATAGTACAATCTATGTAAGTACACTGATTTTGTTTATAAAAAGGCCATCGAGCCAGTATTCATTCAGATTGCGTGTATTCTTTAAGTCTTTATGCTTTCTACGGTTTTTCAAAAATTCAAGGTTTCATTCGGCGCTGTCCGGGGTATTGCATAATGATGCCTTGTACCTCGGCAAGCCGTAAAACCTGCCAAAAAAAGATACAAGCCCGAAGTATTGCATAGTGATGCCTTGTACTTCGGAGAATCTGTTCCTTTGGGCAAAAAGGCCATAGACTTATCCGAAACATAGCCTAAAAAATAGGAACTGATAAAGCCCCGAAGTATTGCATAGTGATGCCTTGTACTTCGGATGAATCAGTTCCGGGTGGTAGTTGCAACTCTGAAGTATTGCATGATGATGCCTCGTACTTCAGATAAACTGCTGCCCCGGCATGGTGTTTCGGATAGTTGTTCCCTTGGATGAATTGAAGAAAGTGTCACAAGAGTACCATCTCTAGAGTGAAAACTCTCAGGTGGGAAATCAGTACTTTAAAAACAGATGTAGAAAATAAAGCAAAGTGTTCAAAGATCCTCGGCTTAGCCGAGAAAAATTATCAGCCATTCCAGAATTCAGAAGACCTCATCTTCAGATTTCTGGGGGGGCAGAGGGAAATAGAGAAATGGCACAACTGATCTAATACCCTTCAGCTCAGCCGAAGTTTGATACTTATGTCAGTTTTTTCACAAGTTGAAAACATCCGAGTACAAACGGCAAAAAGAAGTCTCAGCAGAAATGATTCTCGCTAGCCGAAGTTCTGCACTTAGCAAATATTTGAAAGATCATTCAAAGAAAGCAGTAAAGTGCGAAGACTGGTAAAGCGAAGAAAAAAAAATACACAAGAAAGCTGAGAAAGTGAACTTCTTTGAAATAAAAATGTTGAATTACAAAAATAGTCGGCAGCCGCCCACAAGCGGAAAGTAACAGCTGCCGAAATACGTACAGGCAAAATAAAAATATAATAAGCTGTTGTACGATAAGGCAAGCTGAAGCAAAAAAAAACAAAAGGCAAAAATTCAGAAAGCGGCAAGTCTAAAGTTGAGCGCATGATGAACCGCAAGATTCTGAAGACGACTGCCCGAGTTCCTATGCTTCAGCCTGAGGATCAGACTGATCAGCTTCATTGGGCCCAATGGTGGTCTCAGCTCCAGCAGCAGAAGAAGCAGGCTTTGCACTCTGCCGAGCCTCCCTTTCCCTCTGCTCAGCCTCCAACTCCATCCTCTCAGCTTCTTCCTCGGCTTCCTCAGCCTTAAGGATTTCAGCTTCGATTGGAGTGGCATACTTCATGTGAGGGTCTTCGGGATCTTGGACCCATTCAGCACATTTGGACCAGTCCAGCTTCGGCTCAGCATGAAGGCAGACCCTTCGGCACACTCTGAACCCGTTTCTAAAACCCATTTCATACTCTTCTTGGGTATAGATACGGACTTTGAGTAGAGCCTCAGCATCGGCCAACTTCTTCTTCGTCTCCTCCAAGTCTTCCTCGGATCTCTTCAGCTCATCGACGAGCTTGGAGGAGGAGCCTTTCAGCTCGGTAAACTCTTGCTGAACCTGGGAAGCCTCGGCCTGAACTTGGACCATTTCTTCCTTCTTGGCAGTGAGCTGATCCTCAGCCTCTTGTAGCTTAGCTCTTTGAGCTTCAGCAGCAGCAGCAGCCCTTGAGAGTTGGACATCCCTAGCTTGGAGCATCTCTTCAGCAGCCATTCTGCTGGCTTCAAGAGATTCTAGCTGATGCTGCACTTCAGCCTGTGCAGCAGCTCCTTCTTGGATTCGGCTCTCGATAGCAGCCTTGAACTTGGAGATGTCCACCCCCAGGTGCTCTTGGAGGAATTTTTCCCCTTCCATCAGTGGGGGAAAAACTTCCTTCTCCATAGCGTCGCAGAAGGTCTGGAGGGCTTCAGCAGCCTTTTTCTCGTACTCCTCAGCCTTCTGCTGCTTCTCTTCAGCTGCTGCCTGCTTCAGCTTAGCAAGCTTTAGCTCTTCCTCGGCTACCCTTTGATCGTGCTCGGCAGCGTCCACCCTATCTTGTAGGGAATCTATCAGCTCTACAGTGAGAGTTTGATTGTGCACGAACTGAAAACAGGGGCACAAGTTAAAAAAGTAAAAAATAATAGCTGAAAGGTTGAGTTCAGAAAGAAATCAAGGCAAGGAGAATTACCTGCATCATCAGCAGTTGGTTGGACCTGGCAGGGTCAGGAACTGATCTGCTGGATTCGCCCATCCCAGCAGTGGCCTTCAGCGACCAAATCCTTGCCCTATCTACTTCGGACAGGCCAGCAAAATCGCCGAAGTAGGCTGCAGCACCTTCTCGGTTCTGACCCCATATAAGGTCCCAGATGTGGTCTGGGACTGGAATTCGGGGGGCCGAGAAACCCATTTCTCCAGACTGCAGCGTCTGGAAGGAAGGGAAGGATGACGATGGAGCCTCTTTAGCTTTGGGTGGCTCAACGTCCTCCTCCTTCTCAGAAGAGTCAATTATTGTGACCTCTTCTTCTTCAGGTGTGAGGACGAAGGCCCCAACCTCTCTGGCAATGTCCGCCGTGAAACCCTCAGCACTGGGCATCACGGCGTCTCCATCCTTGTCCTCGGCGGCACTCTCTCGAGCTTCTTCCAGAACCTCTCCCTTAGGTTTGGGAGTTCTCTGATCCACCTCCATCTTGGGGGGTGGCGGAGAGGCCCTTGGGGGTGATTGAGGCGGTGGCCGGGGAACCCTCGGCGATCCATTGCCTTCCTCGGGTTCCCTTATTTCAACGCCGATGGTCATCGGCCTCCGCTGAAAGTCATGCGGGCCGATGATGGCCATTCTTCGGCGCCTCTTCTGAAGCGGCTGCTCGTCCATACCCGAGTCTGAAGACTCTTCTTGTACTTGGTCTTCGGGACGAACAGGGGCTTTCCCTTCCCTGTGTCTGCTGCTCTCTTCAGACTGTAAAGGGCAGGCAGGGGGAAGAATGTGAGTAAAAAAAAAAAGAAGAAGAAAGACAAAGTTAAGTCTAAAGGCTCACCGAGGTCTTCAGCAAAGCCTCGTCTTCTTCAGCTGCCCTAGCCGCAGCTTCTTCAGCAACTCTGGAGGACCCTTCTCCACCTTCACAAGCTTCAATAACCCGTGCAACCTCTTCGGCTGTACGGGCAGCTTCAGCTTCTTCTTCCAGCAGCTGAAACAAGGGATCTCTCTTCTTCCACCAAGGCTTCTGCCTCTGATACAGAGCAACAGCCTCAATTTGGAAGTGGGAAGAGTCTAGGTGAACCTCTCGGCGCCTTGGTTCAGTGATAGGGGGAGCCCGATCAGTTACGACTCGTTCTCGGTTGACGCCAAGGCGAGCGTAATCAATGCCGACGTTGGTCTCGTCCCGTTCTGAAAAAGAAAAGGGGAGAAGTCAATTCAGTTAGTTCGGCACATCACAAGAAAGCAAAATGAAAGAAGAAAAGAGATAATTAAAAGGCCTCGGCCCCAGCCGAAGAAGATTACCATCCCTAAACTTTCGGCTGAGGCCGACAGCTGCCAGCATATTCTCTTGGAAAACATAGTGCGTATCGGGGAGCCAAGTCTCCGGGATATGCTGCATTCGGCCGCTGCCTCCCCGGTTCGGCAGCTTGCCGAAGATGTTCTGCTGATTAAGGTTCGGGTCTGGCCCGCTATCTTCGGGAGGACCTAAACTTCCCATATCAGGATCCGGCTCGGCAAGATACCGGGGAGCGCTGAAAACGTAAGGGTGGCTCGGCTCCGTGGGTGCCCTAACCCAAATCCATTGACCTCTCCAGTCCTTGTCTGAAGAGTCGTTCGGCCACATGGTTAGGAACGGGGGCCGAGACTCAATCCGATACCACCCAGAGCCATGGCATCCGTGCCCACTTTGAATGTTTGGCACTAGCCGATGGAGCCTTTTGAAGCAATGCAGGTTCGGCACGTACCTGAAGAATTTGCAGACCCATAAGTACGTCATTACCCTTCGGATGCTGGTGGGGGTCAGCTGGCACAGGGAAATGTTGTAATGGATCAGCAAGTCTCGGACGAATACGTCCAAAGGGAACCTCAGCCCGTACTGGAGTTGTCTTGTGTACACCCCCACATACCCCGGGGGTGGACGGTGGATTCTATCGGAGGCCGTGGGCATTCGGCACCAATACCCATCGGCTTCAAGGATGCCGTAATGCAACTCAATTTGCTCGGCAAACCGGTACTGATCAGCATTCTCCACCCACCATGAGTAGGGGCGGTTCTTTATCATGGCCGAAGCTACTTCGGCATCCTCCCACTCTGAAAACCCTGGGAGGATATCCCAAAGGACAGCGGGAACTTCATCATCCCGTCCTGAAGCGCTCACCCCCTCAGCCCTCTGAGGAGGAGCCGAAGAAATGGGAGTCGCCCTAACCCCTTCAGCAGGGTCAGACTCTGTCCTTCGTCCATTCCAGGTCCCAATCCTGTCCCTGGGATCGGGGATTAGCCTTGCTCTTCTTGGAGCACGGGCTCCACCTCTAACTCCCCTCACCATTGACGAATTTCGAAGGAAAAAGTCGAAAAAGGGGAAAGAGTGCAAAGTCGAAGAAAAATGAAATAAAATCAAAGGAATTTACCTTGATCTGAAGCAAAAGTCGCCGATTTACGAATTGGTAGTGACAAGTCTCAGCTTCTAAGCTTAATGCTCGGGGAATTTGCGAAGTTTTGATGCGGGCTCTTGAGCGTTCTTGAGAATTCTGGGTTTGTGTTGATGAATGAGTGGGGAGAGAAGACGCGCCTCTATTTATATCTCCAGAAATGGGAATTCAAGGAGTCTGCGTTTCAATTTCTCTCAAGCACCCCACTAAGTAACCGTTAAACACACGACCTTGCAGTTAAATCGCCCACTACCCGTCCAACTTCCGCAATTATCCACATTAACTGTTGTTATCTCATTAATCATGGGTTAATTACGGTTTAAATTCACATTTTTGGATTAACAAATCATTCACTTCCCTCCTTTTCTGATTAAATCAAACCCGACCCGTCATCCTTCCAAATCGGGTCTGGGGGGCAAGTTGTTTGGGTCCAATTTAGTCCAATTGGGCCTGGTCACTGAATGATCCAATTAAAAGCCCAAGGTTAAGGTTCAACTCTCCAAATGTGCTAAAGTCAAAAATCAACATCCTCAAAGCCATGTCAAGGTCAGTCAACGGCCCAATCAGCTTGGCCCAGCCCAACTGACTTCCGGGCCCAATCCGCCTCCTTCATTAGCCAAGGTATAAAAGCCAACAATTTGGTCAATTCTTGGTAAGACAATAAAGCCTCAAGCAACTAAACTCTTGCACAGCTTTCTCTCTCTAATATACTGACTTAAGCATCGGAGGGGCCTTCCTCGGCGTCCCCCCCGAGGCTAGTTTACGTGTATTTGTTGTGCAGGAAACCCTCGGCTCCTGCGTCGTTCGGACCGAGACCAAGTTCCCTCAAGATAAAAGGATCTTCCGAGATTCGATTGTTTTCATCCGAAACACCTTTGATTCAACATTTTGCTGTTTCACTTTCTCTTCTAGCTTTTTAACGCGTTCTTGGAGGTGTTCCACATATTTTACTGCTTCTTCAAGCACCGATACTTTGTTTATCTATAAATTAATTAACAAATTAAAAACAATCTAAAACTAGCTGGCATTCATTAATATATATTGATATATATGATATGTCAATACTATAGTTGGATATTTCTCGGTGTCTATTTTCAAAATAACAATTTTCGTAAATGAATAGCAAAAGATTTATTAATGATCAAAGTTATGAGTTTCAAGTAGCAAATATGCCTAAAAGAAACGATAAAGTAGGGTGATTCTAGTCATTCTACTTTAGATAGATGAGGTCAAATTTGTTACCTTTTTAAGACAAGGAATGAGGGCAGAGAGAGCAATTAATCTTTGACTAAGTATGTCTCTTCTGCGTCGCTCTGCAATAACATGGTATTGAAGATTCAATTTAGATCTTGAATCCATTGATCTAGTAGTCCTCTTGTTACACCCACGACTTTCGTTCTCTTTAGGAACATTATCATCCTTCACCGCTGGAGAACGTAAAGCATCCGATATGGAAAAATTCCAGCTGCTACTTTTGAGTCTCTTAGAAGCAACCTCAAAACTAATAAGATGGGGAGTTTCGACGATTCCGATTTCACCATAGTCGTGGTCATCTTTCGTGCAAGACGCGAAGCTATGTGATGATACACAAGCATTATATTGTAGAGACTCCATTGTTCCCTAGGACAAATAATAAGATCAAAGATTGAGTATGAAGGGTTATTTTATTTCATTTGTTGGTGTTATTTGGTCAAGAAGATAGGGTAGATCCAAACATTTATAGTACACAATAAATTATTATAGCACTTAAGAGTAAGTTTAATTCTGAAAATCATATGAGGTATACACATCATTATAATATAATATAATGAAAATTTTGACAATTACCACCTAGAACTGTTTCCATTTTAACAATTGCCACCTACTATTAATTTTTTAAAAAATTACTACCAACTTTTTTTTAAAAGACCAAAAGGACTCGTTGACTCTCAACCACCTTATGACGTCATGTGGGCCCCACATAATACCTTCCCTCCCCTTTTCCCTCCCATTTCTTATTTCTTACTCGATACTTCACTCTCATATTCAATTTTTCGTTGAAGAAATCGAAAACATTGAGATTAATTGTCACATTGTTCGTGATGCTATTACAGAGGGCTTAATTGCCCCTTCTTATGTTTCCACTAAGGAGCAACTTGCAGATATTTTCACTAAGGCGCTTGGGAAGTCTCAGTTTGATCATCTTCTTTCCAATTTGGGCATTTACAATCCCCATGCTCCAACTTGAGGGGGGTATTGGAGGATATATTTTGGGAATTATTAGGATATATTTAGTTTCCATAATTTATGCCTAGTATATATTTTGTGCCTAGCATAATATCTTTTTGGGATCTTTTGATTATTTCCTAATTCTATCGGGTTAGGAAAACGATGTATTATTTATTGGTTATGGCCATCATCATTGTAATTCAAGCTTTGAGGTTTTACACAATTTAACACATATAGACCACTAATTAAAATCATATCAAATGATTATGTATATTATATTGCATTGGTACGTAGGAGAAGAACCTATATATTATAAATAATACAATAAATAATAGTTTAACATTAATCGCGATAAGATAAGAGATTATACGATCAAAAATATTAATGGCGTGCTTTGTAACCATAAGTGATAAAAATATAGTTTCAGACATCACAGATCCATTTTAAGTTGATCGTATCAAATTTTATAATTAGTTTATTATACTAGTATATTTCATTTTTATAGAATACAATAGACTAATGGACAGAATCTTTTCGCGATATTGATGTTTAAGCATGCGAAGAGAGGATTAATTTTTTAATCTAGTTGGATTATAAAATTTCAAGTTATTGTTTGACATGTTTAATATGCCCGCCGACATAACTATATCTCCTAGCTAGCTATTATTATGAAGGAATATTAAATATTTTACTTCAATTTTAAAAGGTGTTAGTTCTTTTCCAATTTATCTATCTATTAACATATACTAAGGGCCTGTTTTATTTAGTTTATGGGTAGAGTAGAGCAGATTATTATTATTATTATTATTATTATTATTATTATTATTATTATTATTATTATTATTATCGCATTATTATTATAATCATTAAATTTTATTATAAAATATTAATTATTATTATTATATTGATTATTATTATTAATATTATATTATTATTATTATTATTATTATTATTATTATTATTATTATTATTATATCTCAAAAACAAAAGTCATACAACCTACAATAAATTAGTGGGAAGCCGAGATACAATCTGGGCCCCCACTCCTCTAGCAATAGCAAAGCCTACCATAGTGAATATATGAGCTGCAACACGAGCCCCTATGTCTTGCGTCGTCGAGAACCTCTGAATCCGCTTCAGCAACGCAACAACCTCCTTATTATTAAAATTAATAAATAGTATTATCTTTAAATATTAGTTATTATCTTTAAATATTAATTTTTATTATAAAAAATCAATTATTACAATTATTATAATTATTATTATTACTGTTATTATCATTATTATTATTACTGTTATTATCATTATTATTACTATTATTATTATTAAATATTAATTATTATTTATATAATTAATATTATTATTAAATATTAATTTTTAATAATAATATTATTATTAAATATTAATTATTTATTATTATTTTTTTTTAAAATTAATTATTTATTATTACTATTAAATATTATTTATTATTATAATAATTCAATATTAAGTATTATTTTATAGCAGGGCAACTCTAAAGAACGGGGCCTAAAAGCAAATCATTCCATGACAATTGTCATTACCTTGTGAAATTTTTTTTCCGCCTTTTACGCTTTTTTTTTCTTGCAAAATCAATAAGTAAATTATTTATACTTATGATATTTTCTTTCCAATTTGACAATCATATTTCATAGATACCCAAATGAAATATTTTTAAATATTTAATTGTCAAAAATAATTATCAACCGTGCATTGTACGAGATTTTAATCTATTTAATATATACAAACTTTTATATGTAACTTTTTTTTTTTTTTATCTCAACTTCATCTTTTGTGAAATCATCTTTTAATTCCAGGTCTGAGTTTTTTTTCTTGAAATTACATTTTGACTGTTTTGGGCGGATGGGCCATAAACATTTGGGCCTTTGACTTGTAGGCTTTTGACCTGTGTGACCCACGGACGATTTTAGACTACATTCATTTAACAACTATGATTTGGGCTTATATGAACTTCGAGGATGGATTGTATTGGACTTTTAATTGAATGGCTTGTTTAGGCAAGTCTACCTACACCCTTCCATTACTTCTTTTCCTTATTTTTTTTAGAGTCACAATGATAAATGGAATTTGAACTCGGCTAGGGATGTCAATGAAACGAGGCGGATGTTGACCTTCTCTTCCCCACCCTAACATTCTCATCCCCTAGAAGTACCCATGGGTATTGTTTGCTCATTTCGATGATTATTGCTCATTTTATCATCTAATGAGCAAACAAATACCCTTGGGTGCACCATGCACGCACTCAGGTGTATATAACAATCTCTCCTCATCCCTATTCTCATCCGCATGGTGGGTCCAAAAATCATCCCATTCCCGCCCCAATGAATACAATTCCAAATTCATCCCCACCTCGGCAAGTACAATTCCAAACTCATCCCTGCCCCACCTCCGACTTAGATATCCTCACCCACCTAATTCACACCTCCGAACTGCAACAATACTACAAAAAATATAATATAAATTGCAATAAAAAAATCACCTAATAAGTATTAGGGCTTGTTCTCATTGACCGAACTCAGCTGAACTGAACTGAACTGAACTGAATTGAGCTTAACTGAACTGAACTGAACTGAATTGAGCTGAACTGAACTGAACTGAATTGAGCTGAACTGAACTGAACTGAATTGAGCTGAACTGAACTGAGCTGAGCTGAACTCTACTACTACTGCTACTGCTGCTGCTACTGCTACTGCTACTGCTGCTGCTGCTGCTGCTGCTGCTGCTGCTGCTGCTGCTGCTCCTGCTGCTGCTGCTGCTGCTGCTGCTACTGCTACTGCTACTGCTACTGCTACTGCTACTGCTACTACTACTACTACTACTACTACTACTACTACTACTACTACTACTACTACTACTACTACTACTACTACTACTACTACTACTACTTATTGATTATTATTATTATAATTATTTATTGATTATTATTATTATTGTTATTATTTATTGATTATTATTATTGTTATTATTATTTATTGATTATTATTATTATTATTATTATTATCGTCGTTGTAATAACAGCTTAAAAGAATGAAAATTGGCTTTATATCATTAGTAATATTATTACACATGAGCTGAACTGAACCGAATTTCAACGTATGAGAACATGCCCTTAATATTACACATTATTTTTCCTTTTATTGTATGATAAGTCTATTACAAAGTATTTTATTTATTACTCCCTACTACTTTAGTTTAATTAATATATATATAATTTTCAAAAATATATGGATGTGGATAAGGATAGGTATGAAGTGGGGTAGGGCAAGGCATAGATAAATCCATCCCCGTCCTATCATCTATAGCGGGTATGAATTTTATCCCACCACCTACCAAATCAGGAGTCATTAGAACGGGTCTCCTGCTTGACCAGCCCCGCTAACATGGGTGACATCTAGCTCTTGAGTACCACCACTAATCAAGTCATTAAGTTAAATTGTTTTCACTCTATAGCTTGTATGTAAGTATTAAAATACTTGAGTGGTGTATAATGTGTAAATCTTTTGTAGGGAAAACCTTGTGTCAAAATTTAATAATCACAAACAAAATTTACGTTGTACTCTCCTTATTTAGGAGTTTGTGATTTCAAAATTAGAGACAAAAACCTTATGTCAAAAATTTGTAAGCCCAAACATTTTATAGTATAAGGACAAAAGGGCTTGAGTCTCATTATCACGGTTGTTTTCTTTGAACTATGATTGTCGGCAACCATTTGGACCCATCTCAATTTATTGGTGATACATGACCAATTTCACGATTTCAATAGATTTACCTCTATTTCTCTTGTGAACCTCCTTCCTCTCATACCATGCTCAATTGCTCACCATACATGGATAAAAACATATATGTAGTAGATGAAACAAGTAGTATAACGTACGTTATGAATAATTATGTTAATTCGACCATTTTTAAAGTAATTTATCATTTTTCCTTTTTTATTTTTATGTATGCAATCATAAGCTCACAGGCTGCATTAAATACACATACGTTATGATAAATGTTATTTTTTCTTTGATTTAATATTTAGTTGTTATCTCTTTTCAAGGCCCTAGAAATGAAATGCATGTGATGACACGATATCAATAAAAATCTAAAACCGTACACAAGCATACAAGCGAGATAACATTTCATATAGAATGATTTTGGATTGTCATCAATCTCTTACTCCCTAGAGAGCTTCTTTTGTGTTTACATGTTTATTTGTTTTCCCACATACAGTATTGATAAAAATATGATAATCGAATCTAAACTCTAGAAAACTTGAGAAAAAAGTCTAGGTTAGCTACTTAGCATACAAAATATGGAAGATGATTTGGATTCATCACATAGCCCCACACAATGCACCCATACAGAGTATAATTCATGTGTTACTAAATTTGATAAACACTATTTAAAAATTAAAATTTGAAGATAGAAATCACACTTTCAAGTATCACTAATTTCTATCATTATTATTGAGCCCCTCTTTAAAATAAATAAAATTCATAATGGTGGAAGCTAAAATTACATAAAGTTGTACTGAGGAGTAATAAAGATGAAAAGTCAAAATATTGAAATGAAAATCACAAAAAGTGAAAAAACGAATCTATAATTTCTAAAAAAAAAAAAAAAAACAAAAAACAAAAAAAACAAAGAATTAATGGAACCAATTGGTTGTTGGTGTAGTGGTGATTGGGACTACACTTGGTAGGGAGGACTCGTGTTCGATCCCCCGCAACAACAATCGGGAGGGGACTGGAACCTAACCACCCAGAACTGATCCCCGAATTCAAATTAGCCCAAAGGGTGAACCGGGTGGAACACCAAAAAAAAAAAAAAAAATAAAAAATAAAAAAACAAAGAATTAATGGACTAGAGCAAACCAACAACGCAAAGTCACAAGAAATCTGAAATTTTCTCATACAACTTCAATTTACCATTTTCTCACGATTTCAATGATAAACTCAGTTATACGAGAAAATGATTATATCATTATCTACAATTCATAATGAGTAATTTCTATTCTCATTAAATCTTCAATTTATCGTTCAATATAACCTGACAAAGTTGACAGCGACATGCATGCTTAATTTTAGCCAAACAAGGGAAAGTTATACCATGGGATAAGGTGCACGAGTAAAAAAATAGTCTTCCTTTCAATTCTTTGTACTCCATTTAAATTAAAAATAAATAAATAATTTTAATTAATTTTAAAGGTTTTATTTAATTCTATAATGGCTGCCACTATCAATCAAGTTGTCCATTTTTGTTTTTGCTTTCTTTGCCTTTTTTTCCTTTTTCATAATTTTCTTTTAATATCCTTTTAAAAATACTAGGTTAATTATTCTACTCTACCATATGCTAAACGTCATTATCAATGATAACAAGCTTATACTATACTAAAGACAAACGCAAAAGGTCGTTTTCAAAAATATTAGCTTCAACACGTAACACATCATTAAGATCATTTGATTAATATGGCACTTGTATAGTTTGTATGTGTGATATGTCACAAGCTTTTGTATTAGTTTAGACGTCTAAAATGAGTGGTAGACTCGTACGTACAAGTAGCGTAATTTAAATTATGTACTCTATAAAAAGTTAATTTATGTATGATTTATTTTTCTTCATTGCTACATTAATTATATAAATAAGAATTCTTGATCTAAACTAGATATGTCTTTTCATTATTTTAAATTTTTAGGCATAAAGCATCTTCATGCATGTGCCACTTGTTGTTCTTTCAACCATACAGTTTGCTTCTTTATAGGTTTCTTTTCAAAACTAGCTCTTCTACTTGCTTGACATGAGAACTTTAAGTTTGCTTATATAATCCGATATGAATTTGTCTGATCTGATCTGATCAAATTTTAACCTTATGTATACAATAATTTATATAGAATAAATATATCTAGATGTTCTGGTTAGATTCATAATAATTTGTATCTTATTAAAATGTAATTTTTCATAATAAAGATATTTAGTGTTAAAAAACCACAAATAAAAACAATAAAGTATATCAATTTTATTATTTTTTTTAGATCTGATATGAATTTATTTTTTCTACTCTAAATTTATTCTTTACTCTGGCAAAAACAAGGTGGACTAAATATGATTTATTCACCTACAATTTTGCATGCTCAATTAAAAAAAAAATCTAATCATATTAAAGCTCATATTATTAAATCATCATTTATAGATTAATTAATATGAGTAGTATCAAATATAATAATTAACACACTTAAATTATAAAACTTGAGTCTATCAAACATACCAATTATCTATTTTCCTCGATTAAAAAAATTAAAAAGAACATATCAACAATTTTTCACTATGATAAAATTTAAGAATCAGATACACTGATGGAGTACATATCATCCTCCTATGCATGTTTCCCTATATATTTATCTTGCTTCCTTCGATCCACTAATCTCGGTTGTAAATTTTAACTATAGTGTTGACTTTTCTTTTTAATTCTTTATCCAATATTACTTTTTTTTTTTGGAGGCAATTATATTTGCTTCAAGCAAAGCAACTTGATAAAAAGAGAAAAAAATATATATATATAAGGATGAACAAATAATTAAGTCAACCATTTGATAAACTAACAACATATCATGTCCTTTTCTCTAACTAATTGGTGTACGCAAAGTATTTGCTCACATTGCACTCAATAAATATTTACTCTAGAAAAATGTCTTTGTCTCAAAGTTGATGCCTTTTCGAGAGCTTCTTATCATCTCCTTCGTACAATTCCCGTTGATACTCGGATGTCGTAAATAATATATCCTCTCACATTCTCCTTCGTATAATCATGCGAGTGAAAGATAATTCAAATGGTTAAAACTTCTATTTTGATTTAAGGATTCTCTCACCTGCCATTGTGGCTCACTAAACACTAAAAAAAAACTAGTTTACTCATGCTATTTAAATTTGATTGCAAAATATATGTATGAGTAGTACTTCATTGACTTTTTTTGTTTTAGTTGCAACATTTTGACTAAATCAATCACGTACACGCTTTATTTTGAATATTATCTGAAGTGATTTATATAAAATTCTTAATATCATAATGTTTGTCTAAGTATTTGACTTTTTCACACATATTTCTAAGTAAAAATATCTATACTTGTAATATGATGTGATTTATTTGAATTTGTTAGACTTTATTAAAGCTTATAATACGTATTAGTTGTAAATTATACTTGAGCAGCTTTTTATTAGAACCTATTTTTCTTAAACTACACTAATCCGAACTTATTAAACTTAGTTAAATAAGGTGAACAAAATAGACTCTTATAAATTTATAATCACACGATGTGATTTAACATATACAACTTTCAGGACATCATAAGTTATAATATTTTCTGAAGTATAATTAGTTAATTATAAATATAGTTGATTAGAATTATAAAAATAAAAATAAAAATACAAAAAAAAATAAAATAAAATAAAAAAAATTATTGAGGTAATATTACATTATTAGAACTCGGTAAGTCTAATTGGTTGATGAATTTAAAATATGTTAGAGCAAGATTAGCCCTGTCTAGTCTTAAGATTTTAATTAATTTCCACATCAGATTTTATATTAAATTTAATTATTTATTTTAATTTTAATTATGTTAAGACTTCTTAAGACTTAATCAGATTTATCTCTTCAATCCTAAGACTAGGTACGTACATTTTTTTTTTTTTGAGGGAAAGCCGAGCTAATGCATTAATCAGAGGACAAAGTGTCCGAGAGTACATACAGGGAGATCATTTCAAGGCAATGATTCACCCAAACCTGTTCAGTCCCAAATGGCATTAGCCTAGCAAGGTGATGGGCTACAATGTTGCCATCTTTTTTGACATGAGACCAAGTGAAAGACAAAAAAGCACTACTAAACAACAAGATATCCTCTAAAACTACATCAAAATCAGATAAATAAACTGAGGCTTTCGAGAGGCGATTGATAAGAACTTGGCTATCCGATTCTAAAATGACATTGTCGCAGCCATAGCGTCTAGCAAGTCTCACTGCTAATAGGAGTGTTTTCCCTTCTGCAATTTCCGGAGGCCACCATGCTCTTATCCTACGAGCTGCAGCAAATAAGACCTTCCCATCGTGATCCCGAGCTACCACACCCAAGCCAACCCAGCCCTCATCGCACAAAGATGCATTCGAGTTGAGTTTAATAATCCCAGCAGGAGGTGGAATCCATTTGTTACTGCTCTGCTTCGGTTTACTTGGCGCAACAGCATAGATTTTCTTGCTGTAGAGATCGTGCATGCTCTTCCATAGCTTTCCTTACTCTTGCGAGCAGAACCTCGTTAGGAGTAGTAGTGCCCGCAAAAACCCTATCATTCCTTTCCTTCCAGATTACCCAAGCTAGGATTGCAGCCTTCTGCTTAGTCTTGCCCTTTGCCAGCCCCCATCTCACTAGCAGCTCACACATCGTTTCTGCATTTTGCGACTTGGCACCAGTGCAGCCCATATCCGACCATAACTCCTGCACTCGCCTACACTCAAAGATGGCGAACACATCCTCCATAGAAAATGGCTAACTTTCGGTGATGCCTCTAACCCCCATAATTCTGCCCAAGCTTTATGGAGCAGATCAAAATTGCACCCTTTTCCTAACATATAAGATGTTTTGGTAGAGTACATAACGTCATTCGAGAAGGCCCATGTAATCACATCCTTCGAAGTCTGCGCACCTAAGGGAATCGAAAGGATACACTTTGTATCCCTTTCATTGAACACCGAAGAGATTAAATCCTCCCCCCACTCCATTTTCGAGAAATCCACCAGTTCATTCACATTATTTAGACCCTCCACTGCCGCACTTGTAATATACATTCCATTTTCATCCGCGACCCAAGGATCCTTCCAAATGTTTACCGTAGACCCATTGCCAATTCGCCATATTAGTCCTTCCTTCAATAGAGCCTTTGCACTCCAGATTCTCCTCCATGAAAAACTACGAGACACTCCCAAATAAGAGTCCAAAAAGGAGCTATTAGGGTAGTACTTCGCACTCATTACTCGACCAAGGAGGGATTCGTCCTTCCACACAAGTCGCCAAGCTTGTTTGCCAAGCAAAGCAATGTTGAACACCTCCAAGTCTTTAAACCCCATACCCCCTACACATTTTGGCGTACACATCACGTCCCATGATTTCCAATGGATCTTCCTCCGGGCACCCGATCCCCAAAAAAACTTTGCCATAGCCGATCGAATACTCTGAATTACTGATGATGGAAATTTATACACTCCCATTAAATATGTTGGGATTGCCTGAATAACAGACTTCAACAATATCTCTTTCCCGACCCTCGAAAGCAACTTCTCTTTCCACCCCTGCAGCTTTTTCCAAATCCTGTCAAGTAGTGCCCCAAAAATGGCTTTCTTCGATCTCCCAACAATCGTCGGGATACCCAAATATTTGCTATGCCGATCAACCGTACGCATTTTTAGGATCCCCATTAATTCCTCTTGTTGCTCCGTGCTTACCCCTCTACTAAACGACACCTCCGACTTTTCAAAATTAATTTTCAGACCCGATGCTACTTCGTATCTGTTGAGTATATCAACTATAACTTCGCATTCCTGTCTAGTCGCTCGAGCAAAGAGTAAACTATCATCTGCAAACAAAAGGTGGGAGATAGCTGGCCCACTTCTACTAGCTTTCACTCCATGAAGTTCACCTTGGTGAACTTTATTATGTAACATATGAGAAAAAGCATCTGCAACTAAAAATAAAAAGGTAAGGAGAAAGAGGGTCTCCTTGCCTTAAACCCCTAGTTGGGGTCACCTCACCACATACACACCCATTAATAATAAATGAGTACTTCACTGACAACACGCAATGCATAACCAAGTTCACCCACCGGCCATCAAAACCCATAGTAAGGAGCAATTTACGCAAAAATCCCCATTCAACCCTGTCGTATGCCTTACTCATATCAAGTTTCAAGGCAATTGAGCCCTTCCTACTCTGACTCCTGTTTTTCATAGTATGGAACAGTTCAAGAGCAATAAGAGCATTATCAGTGATTAGCCGTCCCGGAACGAATGCACTCTGATTTTCCGTGACAACATTTGGCAAGATAGATTTCAGACGCAAAACAATCACCTTCGAAACTAACTTATACAATACATTACACAAACTTATAGGCCGGAACTCAGACATACTTGTGGGCGATTTAACTTTCGGGATAAGAGAAATATTAGTTTTATTTACATGGTTTAAAGGAGAGACACCACGCAAAATATTACTAACAAAATGGTAAACATCATCCCCAACAATATGCCAAAATTTCTGATAAAAAATTGCGTGCATACCGTCCGGCCCCGGGGCTTTACACGGGTGCATTTGCTTAAGAGCATCATAGACCTCCTCCTTAGTGTACGGGCGCAAAAGAGCAGCATTATTAGAGTCCAAAATTATCGGCTTCACGTGTTGCAGTACTTTGTCAGTTTGCTCATTGGTAGGATTTGTTGAAGTAAAAAGGTTGGTGTACAACCCACTGACAATATTCTCAAACAATTCATCATCCTCTTGCCATACTCCATCACTATCATAGAGGCCTTCTATAGTATTTCTTTTCCTTCGTTGCGATGCCTTATGGTGATAGTAACTAGTATTCTTGTCACCATCTCTAACCTCCAACACTCGAGACCGCAAAAACCAGTAGGCTTCGTGCTTGCGTTGCAAATCATCAAGCCGATTTTCAAGTTCCACACTTCTTTCACAAGACTCTGCCGAAACTCTATCTTGCTGCACCAGCTTTAATTATGCCTCAACATCCTCAATTTGCTTCCCTAAATCATCAAATTTTTCTGTACTCCAAGTAGTGAGTCTGCTCCCCAAAACCCCAAGCTTACCAATCACATCATGCTCGTTGGCAGCTTGCCATACCTTCTTCACTTCTGCCTCGCAAGACTCGTCCACTACAAGAAAATAACCTTTTCGTAGCGATTATTTTAACCTTTAGTATCGATTGTAATTGCAACAAAAAGTTTTCCCAACGAATGGTCATTCGATACAATATCCCCCGTTGCCTTAGCCTTTAGTAGTGGTTTTCAATATCGCTAGGGTTGGCCTCAATAATCGCTACGAAAAAATACATCCAATCATGGTGATTATTGTAGCGATTACAATGGCTATAAATGTTTAACTCATTTTTCTTCATAAAAAAAACATGTGTATGATCTTTACAAGATTCGAACATGAAACCTCAAACTCTTATATTAAATGTTTCACCAATAAGCTATAAAATATTTTATGCATTCTTTGTCAAACAATATTTATATATCTAGTGTTGAAAGGGCTTTTCGTATCGATTTTTAGGATTTAGTGGCGATTATAAATGATACGATTTCTCAAAATTATACAAATGTGTAAAAATAGTGTGGATATGTATTGTTATGTTTTCCGTATCGATTTTATATGGAAAAACCATGGCGATTGTAAAAATGATACGACATCCTTAATTATTTCAGAAACATACTTGCATATTGTAGCGAATGTACTATCGCTACGAAATAATCGCTACGAAAAGAGATTTTTCTTGTAGTGGTCAAACAACCAGGTTGTCACAAACTTGAAGCTTTTAGTACGTTTACGTCTTTTCCGAGCCTTAGGAACCAAACGTAACACTATGGGCGCATGATCAGAGAAATATTTAAGTAGATGTTCCACTGATGCTCGAGGGAAAATTCGAGCCCATGTCGAGGAGACAATAAACCTGTCAAGCCTTTCGCGAACTCTAGTTCTCACTGTTCTGCCACGTTCCCAGGTCCACCACTGTCCTTTATAGCCAAGGTCACGGAGTTCGCACAAGTCCATCACATCCCTAAAACTTTGCATTTCCCTTCTCTCCCTATCCGCTCCACCCTCTATCTCCTCAGAAGAGAGGATCTCGTTAAAGTCCCCACCTAGCACAATAGGACAGTCTGCTCCCTCACATAAATGATGAATCAATCTCCAAGTTTGATGCTTGTTACTCTCTTCAGGCCACCCGTAAATACCTACGAATCTCCACCTTTTGTCTCCATTATTCATATCACCACATATGTGATTCTGTGAGTAAGAAACAATAAAAAAAGTCCACATCCTCATCATTCCAAAATACACACAATCCTCCCGCTTTACCTCTGCTAGCTAGACACACCAAACGCATTACTAAAGCTGATTCTCACTTTAATACCCTATACCACTTCTTTACTGATTTTAGTTTCCGAAATGAAAACTAAATCCGGGCTAACTGCTTTGCTCCACTTACGGAGCCTCCGAACTGTCCAAGGGTTGTCCACACCCCGACAATTCCAGCAAAGGATACTCATTTCAACTGACGGAGTTGGAACTCACCAACCACCGTCGAAAATACAGTTGACGTGGGTGTTTGGGAACTACTTTTGTTTCGTTTCCTAACCCCTTCACTGTCTTCTGTCACCAATCCTTCAACATCCTCAATCCCTCTCTCTTGTACTACCCCATTAGCAAGCTCCCCTCCCTCATCAACCTCCATGTTACCCTCCCTAACAACTCTGCTGACTCTCTTCCATCCCTTCTTACTCCCTGGTCCCTCACTTACCCCAAAAACAAAAGCAGACAGCTTAGCTGCTCCTCTTGTCTCCCCCTCATTCACTCTCCCTTCCCCTATCTTCCCTTCACTCCTTATTTCACCTTTTTTAACCACCTCCCCTGCATTCTCACTCAATACACCTCTAGTCCCCACACAAGCATTGTCCAATATAGACAATACTTGGGCACCAGTCTTACTAAAATTTGCCTGCTCTGATTCTGTATCATTTACCCCTTTCTCTGCCAAGGAATCATTCACAATCTCGTCTTCAGCGATCTTTTTCGTGGTCAGAACCAAGCTTGCATCATTCAAGTCATTTTCTTTTGTCACAAATAACTTCTTTCTACTGCTTGCAATCTGGTTATACTCATCTATATGCTTCTGAACACCTTTTCTTGGAGACGCACGAAGGAACAATCTCCACCCTAGCTTTTTTGCCCTGTCCTCTTCCGATACCAAAGTACAATCCTTCTCTGAGTGGCCAATGATACCACACGCGAAACAGAAATACGGCAATCTCTCATACTTGAACTCAATTCGAACCTCATCCCCTTTCTTATCTCTTACCCACTGGTATCTGCGCAGAGGTTTTTCAACATTCATAAGGAGTCTAATTCGCCTATACCTCCCAAGTCTAAGAGTATCTTCCTTAATATCCAGGAATTCGCCAAGGGTCGCTGTTAGGGTCTTAACATAAGCATCCGACCTGCAATTAAATGGCAGATTGAGGACTCTAATCCAAAAAGGGGATCGAGTTAAATCAACACAGTCAGGTTGTTCATTGCCTTCTATCTCATTCAACACGAGGAGATTTTTCTCCCAACACCATGGCATACCCTTCATAATCTTCTCTTTATCCTTCCAATGAAAGAAATGGAAAGCGTACAAATTAGGGCTAATTACCCTAATTAACATATCATTAGTCGGAGCTCAAACCTTCATCATCGTCCGTTTGAAAGCTTCGACATTATAAGGTCGAGACGTACACAAACGCCCAATTAGCAGTAGGTCAAAATTCTCATTCGAGTCTGCACAATCAACTTCTCCTAAATCAATCAATCCACCCTCGTCATCATCAAGTCTGAGGGTCGAACACTTCTTCACCAGGTCGTCGGCCATTGCCGAAGACATCGCAGTTGTAACGGAGATTAGTCGCTCGCGGCGGAGAGACGTCTTTCTTTCGAGGAGTAAAACCCTTTCTTTCGAGGGAGTTATTTTTTTACAAGTGACTAGGTACATACATGATAAATATTGGAATCCAACAAACAATAACAAAAAAAAATAGGATAATTAAAATACAAGATAATTTAAATTGATAATTGTTGTTAAATCATGATTGATATGTTTTTTTTTTTTTTTGCAACAAGATAAGTACATAATTAAGATAAAATAAAACAAACAATATGATTTTGTATATAAAAAATTAAAAACAATGTACATATCTATAATTTTTTTTTTAAACAACGTACACACATTTTTTTTTTGAACAACGTACATAGAATTTTTTTATTTTTATTGTACATAGATTTTAATGTATTTAAGAAATAAAAAAAAAGTTTTTTTTTAATCAAAACACTGAGTTTTGATGTATATATAGGGAAAACACTCTGTATAGTGTGTAGAGTTGAGTCTTGAGTTTTCAAGACTCCACTTTAGATTTTGTTAAGACTTAGCTTCTTAAATGCATTAAAAAAAACAAAGTCTTGTCTTAAGATCACAAAATCTAAAAATGATGATGTCACTTAGAGTATTAAGACTCAGGGCTAATCTTGCTCTTAGTCGCAAGATTCCACCAAGTATACAAATAGAACCAATCTAATTATACATTTATGCTACACGAAGTATATCTTTAACGAACCCCATTTGCAATGTGGAGTAAATTTTACCACTAAATTTTTGGTTGAGTTGGTCCCTCATCATGGTATTGGAGGTGGAATTTTATTTTTTATTTTTTTGCTGCCAAAGAGGGAAATTCCAAACAGAAAAAACAACTTTCAAGTGGAATATTAAGTGTTGGGTATGAGAAGGGCCTATGCATGCTGCATCTACACTAGCTACAAGTCCAATATGAGCTACAAATTCTTCTATGGACCCTAGTCCATCTAAAATAGGTAGACCCCTATTAAAACACAACCTTATATAAATAAAACACAACTTCATTCTTTTTTTCTTCTCCCACCATCTTTACAAAATTTTGTTTTTTGTTTTTTTTTTTTTTTTTACAGAAACTCTCTCTTTCTCTCTCTCTCTCTTTTTTTTTTAATCTAATCACTTTTTATTTCTTTATTGAATTTACTTAATTCCTTTTTTTCAAATTCTTATTTTCTCTCGCCTCAGTTCTTTGATTTTTTTTGTCCATTAAATTTCTGCATTTAACGTGATAGAACAATTTTAAATTTCCAAAGATATCAATCCAGGTTTGTTATTATGAACTCATTGTGATCAATATTAATTTATTTTTTGATTTTGAGATGAATTTGTGGATGAAATAATTGTTTTAATATCAATTGAATTTGTGAAAGCTAATTTGATTGATTTCAATTCGTAATCGATTACAAGATTGTTTTTACAGTTCTCATTAATTTGTATGTATTTTTTTATTTTAAGATGAATTTGTAGATGAAATCATTATTCTAATATCAAGATTGTTTTTACATTTCTTCTATGGACCCTAGTCCATCGATCAATTCGTATCTATTATGATCGATTACCTGATACTTTTGAACATTTAGTAAACAAAATCTAAACAATTGCAAATTTTGAACATTAAAAAAAATATTAATCTGAACATCAAAATTTTTGAACATTTAGTGAAAATATCTGAACATACGCAATGTACCATGCCTATACTTTTGAACATTCAGTAAAAAGATCTGAACAACTGCAAATTTTGAACATTTAGTAAAAAAATCCGAACATCGCAAATTTTGAACATTTAGTAAAAATATCTGAACAATCTCAATGTATGCCTATACTTTTAAACATTTTGTAAAAAAATCTGAACAATTGCAAATTTTGAACATTTTGTACAAAAATCTGAACACTGCACCATGTCCATACTTTTGAACATTTGGTTATCAAATCTTAACAATCGTCTGTGGTCCAGCTATCCTAGATGGACCAGGGTGCATAATAGACTTATTGGACTCTTATGTAAGGGGGTGTGAATGTAATTGGTCCTCTAATACATTTTTTTTTTTTGAAAGATTGTGTCTTCCAACATTGAGTTTGGGATTTAATTCCCGCTAATTAAGTAATTAGTGACAATTAAAAGACGGGGATCTCTTTCCCTTTTGCGCTTTTTTCCCTCCCTTTTAAAGTGTATAACTCGCATATAGTAAAACAAATGAAAAATGAGGATATTTTCAATTTAATATACTGTATACATTTTGACTTTACATTATTACAAACTCTTATTAATTTATTAGTCACACATTGTATATTTCAGAAATTTTATATGATAAACAAATAAAACAGTTAAGTTATACACTAATAACAAACCATGATTAAAAAAGGGACAACTTAAAGAACGAAAAAAAAATATAGTTGATACGTCACAAGAATTCAATATCAATAATTTGACATGAATTTTATTTTCAAACAAAAGAAGCTAGCTGTGGTCCTCAAAATTATATGCCCCAACTTTGCCGAGAACACTGAATCATTGACCATACAATCATACATCATATATTCATATTCATTAAAAAAAAAATAATAAATAAATTAAAACAAATAATTGAATAGATAGTAGAGTATTATACCTTAACTATATAATAAATTGCATATTAATATTGGCAATTGAGGTTGTGGAGTTCATAAAACCTGAAAAGTGCATGGATCTAGTGCATAATTTGCACACGACCCAAAGGGGGTATTTAAATAATGATCCTTTAGGAGACCATCCTTGTTAGAGTTTGTTGCTTCGACCACCTAAGCCTTGGGCCACATTATTGTGCACATATCATAACATGCATTTTTCAAATAATAAAATAATATATATATATATATATATTTATTTTTTTTAGGCAAAATAATATATATATTTTTTTTCAAATAATAAAATAATAATATATATATAATCCACTTTAATCGATATTACGTTAGGTCGTTAGTGATTTATAATAGATACTTAATAGAATTGTTTCAAATTATTATCTACTACTCTTATATATTATCAACTTTTTGCATTAGGGTATTAAGTGCTCAATAAAAGTGATGCACTTAAAAAAAAAATAGAAAAAGTGTTATTTAAGCTATTCCGCCCGTCCCAAATTAATTTTAACGCTTATCATGTCACATAATAGTTTTATGATGATAAGATGGTGAAATATTATTCTATTGTTATGAAAATGTACGGTTGATGTGGTTGTGAAAAAGGCTGTTTTTTTTTTGTTGGAAGAAAGTGTACAGTGGGACCATGATTTTTTTAGGGATACAAGTATATCAAGTATATTTTTGTAATATTGGGATTTTTTAAAATTACAAATTTTTGTATGTGGCTGGTCATGGTGCGGCAAGGATTACTTGTAGGGTATTACTGGTTTTGTTAGGGGTTACTTGTAGGTGTTATTTGTATTCTGGGGTTACTTGTATGGGTGTTACTAGTTTTGGTCGGGGTTACTTATAGGGTGTTACTGGTTTTGTCAGGGGTTACTTGTAGGTGTTACTTGTATTCTGGGGTTACTTGTATGGGTGTTACTGGTTTTAGTCGGGGTCACTTATAGAGTGTTACTGGTTTTGTCAGGGGTTACTTGTAGGTGTTACTTGTATTATGGGGTTACTTGTATGGGTGTTACTGGTTTTGGTCGGGGTTACTTGTAGGGTGTTACTGGTTTTGTCATGTGTTACTTGTATGACTATTATTGGTTTTGAACAGGGGATACTTGTAGGGTGTTACTGGTTTGGTATGGGATTTTGGTCTGGAGTTACTCATAATACAAGTAACCCCACGATACAAGTAACCCATACAAGTAACCCTAAAATACAAGTAACCGTGCCGCACCATGTGGCTTGCCGCACTGAAAAACCTCTGTTTTAAAATAGAATTATAGAAGGGTAAAAATGGATTTGAGACAAATGATATGGAGTAAAGGGAAGTGTAATAACTAAACTAGAACATGTTCATATCACAAAAAAAAAAGTCTTGAATGTAAGATAATAAGTTCATCAATTCTGTAAAATTAATTTCATTTGCAGTAAAAATAATTTCAATTTAATTAAATTAAGTAATATATATATATATATATATATAATAGAAAATTACTCTATAGTAAACATAATTTCTTTTTAAAAAAAATAAGGTGAAATGAATGAAGCCTAATTTTATAATAACCTATATAAAAAATTAGTAACTGGTAATGTAATTTCAATCCCAAAATAGTACTCGTAATGAATTTTCATTGGTAACGTATTATTTGTACTTTATAAGCTGGTTAAAATGAAAATAATTATGTGGTTAAAATGTGAAGAAGGTACTAGCGTATGGTGTAGTTAGGACTTAGGACAAAGCATTACCAACGAGGCATGGACCCATGGAGATTTTGGCATAAATCAATATTGCGGTGTCGACAATAAACGCAATGTGCAAGTACTTTTATGTGCATTTTTTTTGTATGAGTGGGGATAGCAACGGGTCGGACTCGGAGAAGATTATGCTAAGGCCTTGTTTAATTTACTTTATTTTTGTTTATCTGATATGTTCTTATTTGGTCTGATCTTGTCTGGTCTGATTTGATCTGATCTGGTCTTATTGTTTGATTTAACCAAATTTTGACCTTAAGTGTATGACAATCGGTAAGGAAAAAATATATCAAGTGAGATCTTGTTAGATTCGTAATAATGTGTATTTTGTTAGTATGTAATTTTCATTTTTTTTGTCATTACAAAATTAAAGATATTTAGTGATAAAAAATTGCACATAAAACGATGATCTGATCTGAACTTTTTTTTTTATCTAATCTGAACTTTTTTTTTCTGATCTGATCTGAACTTTTTTTTTAGAAACAAGTAAAAATAAGGTGAACTAAATAAGACCTAAATCCGACTCCGACCCTACAGGAAGTCGGAAGCTAAATCCGACTCTGATCCGACTTCAATATCCGACCTTCGACTCCGATCTG